TGCACATAAATGTTCATAGCAGCATTATTGACAATAGCTAAAAGGTGGAAACAAGCCAAATGTCCACTGATATGGTCTATCCACACAATGGAATATTATTCAGCTGTAAAAAGGAATAAAATACTAATACATGCTACAATATGGATGAATCCTGAAAACATTACACTAAGAGTAAGAAGCAAGACACAAAAAAAGTCCACACATGGTATGATTGCATTTATTTAAAATATTTGAGTAAGCAAATCCACAGAGACAGAAAGTGGTTTAGTGGTTGCCAGGGGCTGGGGGAGCAGCAAATGGGGAGTGACCACCAATGGATACAGGAGTGACCTTTTGCAGTGATGAAAATGTTCTGGAATTAGTGGTGATGGTTATAAAACTTTGTAAAAACACTAAAAACCACTGAATTGTACATTTTAAAGGATGAGCTTTATGGTATGTAAATTATATCTCAATAAAAAGCACATTTCAAGTTTGAAAGGAAAGGAATTGAAAAAGATACACCAGGCAAATATTGACCTAAAACAAGCTATAGTTTCTATATTAATACCAAAGTAGATTATAAGGAAAAGCATTACTAATACTAACATATGTCACTATATTTTGATCAAATGTTCAACTTACCTAAAATACTCATATATAACAATTCTAAACTTATATGCACTTAACAACATAACTTAAAATTACATAAAGCATTAACTGAAAGAACTACAAGGACAAACTGGCAAAAAGTAGTTGGGCCTCTACTCAGGGCATCGTATAAGGCAAGACTTGGCTCCCTGGGGCAAGGGTAAATATTGAAATCTCCATGGGATGTGAGGGAGAAGACCTGGAGAAATGGGCATGAAGTTTTTATATTTATCAAGAAGAGCCAGATAGAGCTAAAAATATATATATATATATATATATTGAAAAACTCTTACAGCAAAAATGAGCCCACCGTTGTCCTGCTTGAACCCCTCAGTGGCTCCCCAGTGCTCTGTTGAGAAAGTTCCCTTTCTAGGCTGATTTCTGACCACTTCCTCTCACAGCTCCCTCAGTCAAGCAAACCAGGTTCTTTGTTATTTTCCAAACACTCTATATTTCTTATCTTGCCCACCTGGGATTGGGGGAGCTAGGGATGCCTGGACGAAGCTGGGATTGGGTGGAGAACATGGTTGCCATGTGCCAAAAGAGTGCCTGCAGCTTATAGTGCCAACTTGACCACTGCCTGGCCAGGGGGCCTGGTTTGACCCCTTCATCTCCTGAATAGCCCTGCTTCTCCGCTGCGTTCCCCAGCAGCAGCCTCCTCAGAAGCCACCCCCGCCCCTGCTCCCGTTCAGTCCACCATGACTGAGCTCCATCTTTCCAATCGCACTTCAGCTGCCTTGGCACAGGCTCTCTACATCTCTTGCCTTGTTCCCCACATGGCCCCAGACATGTCTCCCAGCCACCAGCCCTGCCCCACTTCCAGGCTGTCCTTCAAGCTGAACTCCAGAGGGGTCTTTGTAGGGCCCAGATCCCATACCTCACCCCCGAGGAAATATCTCCATGGTTCCCATTTAACAGGACATGAAGTTGAGGCACAGAGGACATTCACGGTGACACAAACCACCTGCAAGGCCCACACTGAAACCCAGGGTGGGTTCCACTCAACTCAGTGTTCTTTCTCCTTTAGCATGCTGATAGTTTGCATTCACAAATACAACGAAGGAAAGAACTCCCCCTTCTTTTCTCCAATTCCCCACACAACTCCTACATCCCGAGCAAGACTTCCTCAATGTGCCACAAGCTGTGTGGCCTCGGCTCAGTTACTCAGCCTCCCCATATGTGGAGTGGGGACGATGATAATGACGTAGCTACCTCACAGGTGAGGTTCACGTTAGTACATGTGATGCTCTCCCAAACAGTGCCTCGCACATAGGAAATGCTCAATAAAGAGTCCCTATTAGCATCCTCTTAATTAAAAGGAATAAGCCTTCCATAAATGCTAACTGTAAAGCTAGATACGTATTTGTAAGGAGAAGGGTGAAGTATAAGTCGCTTTTTCTCTACTTCTGTGCCCCTTGGGCACCTCCAACTCACCATGTCCAAAACTAATCTCTTTACCTCTGCCCCAAAGTCACGCTGGTTGAACCTTCTCGACAAACGGTTCCACTGTCCACCCGGAAACGCATGGGCTATCTGGACCCTCCCCCCTTCATTCCCCATGCTCAACTCATCACCAAGGCCTATCCACCGGACTACCAAACAGCTCCCAGGGTCACCTCCAGGTCTACCAGTCCCCACAGGCTGAGCTTCCCTGGAATCTATGCCACCCACAGGTTTGCTCCAAGACAGTGTGTGTGACCCACTCTGTGTAGGCCAGAACAGAGGAGACAGCGTCCTGTCATGATGCCCACAAGCGTTCCCTGCTCAGTTCTAGTCTGTTCCCCAGCACCCGGGAAGGATAGCCCACTCTCGAGGGGCCGGCCTCTGCTCCCGATTCACAGCACCTGAGATTTCCAGCTAACTCGAGCTCAGCCCCTAACGCAAACTGGGTAAGTGTGCTCTCTGGCCAAACAAACAAACAAACAAACAAACAAACGAAACCCTTCCATGGTCCCATTGCTCACAGACTAAGCCCCAACTCCTTACCCTGCCAGGCTTTGGTGCGGCACCTTCCTCCAGCGGCCAGCCTGAGTGCCTGTGCTGGAAGTGCTCCTGTCACAGTGTCCCCCGCCCCAGCCCCTCTCCATCTCCCCACCCCACGGCTAAAGCAGCCCTTTCTCTCTCCCGGGCTGCACATCCCGCTGCCTTGGTGACCCAAAGCTTTCCTCTCACAGACCACCCTCCTCAGATGGGAAGGTCTCGGAGGGAGGAAGGAGGGGTGCCACCTCTGCCTGACCTGGGGGTCCCCCCTCTCGCCTTGCTCCCAGGTGGGCAGACTTCTCCAGGGCAGGATTTGGGTGGGGGAAGAATGGATGTGAGCGGCTGCCCCAGGTGCTGAAGGAACCAGGGGTGGCCGAAGGACGTCTAAACATGTGATCGTGGCACCCCCTGCTGACAAGAGTCCGAATTGCACCCTGTGTCAGAGTGGCCCAGAGCTGCTGCCCCAACTCTGCAGAAGGGATCTGGCCACACGCCTGGGCTGGAAGAGCTGGTTGTCTCTGTGCAGGTGCTCAGATTCCTTCTGGAAGGCTGGCTTTGGCACTCCTGCTCAGGGCTTTCGGAGCAGCCAGCATGCCGAAGCCACCCCCTCCAGTAGAGGGCCTCCTCCTGCAGGCCAGGCACCTTATCTGATGGGCCCAGTGCCATGCCCAGCAGCTCACACAGAGCAGAGGCCCAATCAGTATTTGACAAACAAACCAAGAACAAGCAGGTGTCGCAGGTGTCCTGTGTGAACAATTGCAAAGATAGGGAGCAGAGCCAGCTAAAGGGATGCTGGTGAAGATGTCCAAGGTAGCAGGATGCCAGGACAAGGTGACAAGGTCCCAGGTGGGGAGCTGAGGGCAGGCAGGACAGGTTGCTGGAGGCCAAGCCTCTGAGACCTGGCTATGGTACTAGCTGACGGCCAGGCATGGGTGAGAGCCAGAAGCGGGGCTGGCGCGGTAGGACCCAGCCATGTGACCCAAAGCCTGGGGCGAAGGATGGCCTGGCAGTGGCTGTGGGGACAGAGAAGGAAGCTGCCCAACCGGCTCCAGACTTCTCCAGGCTCAGGAAGGGGGTGGCAGAATGCTGGGAGAAGAGGAGCTGTCCCCACTCCCGCCAACCCAGAGGAGGGGCACCCTTGCCGCTGTCCTTGGGGGAAGCTGGGCTCCTGGCTCCAACCCCAAATCCCAGTCCAGCCTCCGCCTCAAGGCCCAGGCCAGCTTCGGTTTGGGCCTCATCACTTCCCTTTGGGTCCCACAGTTTGACAAGGAGAGGGGTCTTCACCACACTCCCTGGTTGGGCTGTGGGCCATTGGGCTCACACCCTGAGGGCTGGCAGGGGCAGGGGTCTCAGAGAAGAGGGGGAAGGGATGGCCAGCTCTCCTGGAACCCTGGCCAGGGCCAAGGGGTGGCCCTAGGGATGTTCCCCTGATGGACCCAGAAGAAAGGCCTAGAAGGGCCAGCAAGGCAGGGCTCTGGAGGCCTGACCCATCCAGAATGGGGTGCAAGGGGCTGGGGCCACTCAGACCAGATGACAGTCCACGTCTCTTCACACCAGAAGCCATAACCAACCTGTCACTGCTCCCGGAGACCCAGCTGCCAACCCGGGTCCACCCAGGTCTGGAGCCCACAGGTTCCAAATCCCCGGCACGGCACATGGGTGGAGGCTCCCAGGTACCCTTTCCTGGCCGGGGGGCTCCTCTTCACCCCACCCTTCCACACTGGTCGCTCCACAGCAGGACGCCCTGAGCCCAGCCCTGCACAGCAGGAGCACTGCAGCCCAGCCCTGGGGACCTGGCGACAGCACTCCTCAGGCCCCCCTCAGCCTCCCACCATCCCCCTCTGCCACTGCCAGCAGGCCTGAGCTGCCTCCATTTTGTCTCAGGGACCCAGCCAGACCTCTAGGGTGGCAGAGCTGGTCCACCAGGCTGCCTCTTGCTGGTGCTTTGGGGGGCCGGGACAGGAAGTTCTTGGATGACTGGGAACTTGTCTGCCATGATCTCAGGGAGCAGAGGTTCAGGTGACAATGGGCGAGGCCACAGGGCAGGGTCCGATTGGCAGTGGGCCTGTCTCCTTGGCTTCCTTCCCACAGGTGACCCATTCCCCTCCACACTCATCCCGTCCCCAGCTCACCACTGGCCCATTGCTCTCTGTCTTTATTGGTTTGGGGAAAACTGGAGGGGCTGGAGGACCACGACACAGTCAGCAAAGCACAGAACAGCCGTGCAGGAGGGACAGCCCTGGAGCCCACCTGCCAATGCCTCATAGGCTTCTAGAGGGGGTACGGCGACAGAGGAGGGGAGCCCCTGCCCCTGGGCGAGGGCAGAGCCTGTGGGCACACTGGGGGGTGCCGCACTCCTGCCCCAACGCCATGCACGTCACCCACACATGTCACACTCTCCAGCAGAGGCCAGCCCCGGGGTATGGGAGCTGGGGGAAGGGGACCAAAAGCGCCCAAGGGAAGGAAACCTGGGGATCGGTCCACTTGGCCTCGGCATCTGCCTGGGGAGAGAAGGAAGAGAGCAGCAGAGGGAAGGGACCAGCCTGTCCCGCGCCCCACCCGCCCCGCCACCAGCGCGGGCGCCCGCTGGCCGTTTGTGTCCTTCAGCTCTCCTGGAAGCCCGGCTCCTCCTCCGTCTATGCTCTCTGTCCTCGGCCCTCTGTCTGTGGGGTCCACTCTGCTTAGCTCTGGGCCACATGGAGCGCCACCACCCTCTAAGCTCACCAAGGAGCCAGCCCCCAATGAGGCAGGGTCCCCCCACATACCTGGGCGTCACCACTGAGGGGCTGGCCAGCCCAGAAGCCTGCGTGACTGTGGCGAGCCACGCCCTGCTTGGAGGCCTCCTCGCCCTCTCGGCTCTGTCCCAGCTGACGGATGTGGCACAGGAACAAGGTGGCGTTGAACGCTCGCTGTGGGAGGAGAGGGGGCCAGGCAGGCCGGGGTTCCAGCTCCAAGTCTGCAAGGAGCGCAGCGGTGGCTGGGCAGCCGAGGCCAGCACCCTGAAGCTGGGGAACGGGCAGGTGGCCACCTCGGGCCTCTCCTGTGCTGACGTTCCAGTGGTCCAGGCAAAACTCTTCTCAGTCTGCTCATTGACTGAGCCGTGGACACCCTTGTCGAAGGCCACGTCCCCAGAGACCCTGGGGAAGTCTGAAAGTCAGCGGGGAGGGGGACATCTCTGAGGATGTGGTCCCTCTGGCCCTGGCACAGCTTGGGAGGGGTCCCACTCACCAAAGATGCTGAGAGGCCTGTGGGCAGATGAACTTCCTACTTGGGACTTCGATCCAGTAGGTGCCAGATAAAGTCGGGGAGGCCGGGTCAGCCTGCCCCCTCCCCACGGCCCCTCGACACCCCCAGCACAAGCCAGCCTCAAGCTCACCTGACTGAAATGTCATCCCAAAAGGGAGAGTCCAACTCATAGCCGGCCCTCAGTATCTGTCTGAAGAGTTCAGGGTGGCTCTCGTCATAGAATCGGGGTACCCACACAGCCTGGCACGCACAGACGAATCACCCGGCTGTCCAACCCTCCCCGGCCCAGCAGGGGCAGGCAAGCAGAAGATGCGCTGTCCCAGTGGTCACGCACAGGATGCGGCAGATGGCACCCAGGGCCCACACATCTACGGCCTTCCTGTAGGGTTTCTGCTCCAAGAGCTCCAAGGGTTGAGGGCCAGAGACAGACACAGACACACACAGACACACACACACGCGCGCACGCACGCCATGCCGGCCAGTGCCTCAGTGCCGTGCATCCGTGCAATCGGCACAACAGTCTTCCCGGCCCCTGGTGCCTCGGTTCCCCCAGGGTCCCCCAGCCCCGTCTCATCCCCCAGCAAGCTTCAGGGTGCACTCCTTCACTTACCCACATATCCTGGGGTCCTCAGGTGGTGCCTAGCATGTTGCTGGCCTGGACTTTGGAGAGACCAAAGTCAGAGACCATGACCTTGGAGTCTTCAAAGGGCGTGGCATAGAGGAGGTTTTCAGGCTGTGATGTGTGGGTGCTAAAGAAAGGGCCAGCGCAGTTCTGGCATAGCCCCAGTGCTGGGACAGGATGAGCCTCAGCACCTTCAAGTTGCCCAGACCCTTGCTGGAGAGAGATGCTGGGAAAAGCCTGACCATGCTCCTGAGGAGACACACGCAGGGCGGGGGGCCCCAGCCAGGCACCTTGAGGTCCTGGTGTACGAGGCCCAGGCTGTACAGGTAGGAGACAGTGCCAAGGACCTGACCCAGCAGGTGGCTGGCATGCTTCTCTGAGTAGGAGCCGCGCTCCATGATGTGGACAGAAAGCTCGCGCCCCATCACCCTGGCAGGAGTCGGGGCTCAGCTGACCCAGGCACCTCAGCCCCCCATGGGCTCCTGCAGCATGCCTCAGCCCCTACGATAGGACCGCAGCAGAATCTAGCAGTGCTTTGTCCTGGGCCCCAGGAACACCCCTCCCTGTTTTCTTCCTCCCCACTCTGCTCCCCGTTGCCTATCATAGGCCACCCCTGCCCGGTCCAGGAGGGCAGAGCTCCAGCCCCCAGCTTGAAAACCACAGATTAATATTAACCCTCTGATTGTGCTGATGTGGACACGCAGGCGCAGACAGGAAAAGAGAACTGTCCCAGGTCTCCCTGCAGTTTGTTGGCCAGGCCTGGACTAGACCAGAGGGCTCAGCCTCCCAGACCCCAGACCTGAGACCGAGGGGCTCCTAACATCCCCATCGACTTAGTCCCTGTCCCAGCCCTAGGTGCGGTGCACACCTGCTGAGCACTGCGATCTCGGTCTCCTCCTTGTCCCGGAGGGCCTTCTTGGGGACACACTTGAGGACAACAAGGTGTGCAGAGCCCCAGTCCACCCCACCACAGAGCAAGACAGCAGGCGGAGGAAAAGAGGAGGGAGCCCAGACAGGACAGCGGAGCTGGGGGGGAAGGGGCCCCATGCCACGCAGCCCCGCCACACATGTGCACACACACTCGCACATCACTGACGTGCACATCTACACGCTGTCTCACGCGCACACACACTCGCACACCGCCACACACCATGTCACATACTCTCACACGCACTCAAGAGCCCAGCTTCTCCCGGATCTTGTGGGCGCTGCTGATGTCCTCATGTGTCTTGAGCAGCAGCCATGTCTGGAGAGGCACATGGGAGAGGTTGAGGGAGGCCCCCAGGGTGAGGGGCAGCTCCCTCCCCTACCTCAGGCTACCCTAGCGGACAGACACCCTCATCCCCACCCTGGCCCCCCACTCAGGAACACCCTCCTGTGAGACATCCCTCACCACCGAGGTCCACACTCCCAGATGACGGCTCCCACGGGAGGCCACCGCATACACATCCGCCCATGCCTCGTACCCCGACCCTGGTACCCAGACCACCGCCAGCGCCTGGACACTCCCTGCCTGCACACGTCCAAGCCAGTGTCATAGGCGGCCTTCCAGAAGGCTCCATGCATCCTCCTTCCACCCTCCAGTCCCAACCACATCCACAGCGCCCAGACCCCTTCCACCCCTCCTAAACCCGCCATGCATGGCACAGAGCCCACAGGCACAAGCCACCCAGGCCACCAATCCGCCTGCGATGCACCTGCGATCCCCGAGCACAGCCACCTGCCACAACCACCGATACCCACGCAGCCGCCCAGGCGCAGCCCAGCCCGCAGGGCCTCGGAGCCGGGGACGTGGGAGCCTGGTCTGCAGGCGTCCCGAGCGGTGCGGGCCGCGCGCGTGCGGG